GGTTGCTGAACATGATGTCCTCTTCTGAAGGCTGCTTCCCATTCATGAATGCTTGCACCAGGGCTAGCTGAGCCTTGCTCACTGCCTCCATCTCTTGCAAAGCTTCTGAGTTTTGTGGCAACAGCCCCTTGGCAACAGAGCTTGGGCAAGCTGTCTGTTCTTTCTGCTTGCTAGGCCTCATGCTCTTCAAGTTGTCCAGCTTGACCACCACTTCCTCTGCTGCCCCTAGCAAGGGTGTGTAAACAAAGAGAGCACCTTCATTGTCAACCTTCACAAGCTTCAGCACTTTACCACCTTGCTGGCTGCAAGTGTGCAAGTTGCCAATTGTGATGCGCTTATTCAGCACAAGTGCAGTGTGGGCAGGGCTGCTTTCAAGCAAGTTCTCTGGCAAGCCTGCATCCTTCTTGGCTTTGGAGGGGCTGCAGGCTGGCTTTTCATGTGCAGCCACACTGCTTGCCTTTGGTTGCTTGATCTCCTCTGCAAAAGCCTTGCTGATGGCAGCAACACTGGGCCATCCAGCTGGCTCTCTGCCGCGCTTCTCTTTGCTGGCCAAGTGAAGGACTGTCCTGATGCACAAGCGGCCAAATGCTGCAGCGCTGTGCTCCTGGCCATCAGGCAAGCAGCCCACCCTGCACAAAGCACATTTTCTGCTTCCTCCACCTTGGCCAGCATCTGCACACTCTTCATCTTGTCCACATCACTCTTTGTCAGCAACTTGCTGATCCCATCACAATGCTTGGGTGAGGTAAGTTGGGTGCAAAGCACTGCAGCCCTCAAGAAAGGAGCCATGGAGGTCTTCATCTTGAACTCTGCATAGGGAATGCTGGAAAAGAACTCTTCACCAATCAGCAAGGAATGCCCATATGACTTGCTGACTTCCTTCAAAAATGTGATCAAAGGAAACTTGTCCCCGCCACCATATAGCCTGACATAGTGTCCTATGGTGGGCAGATAGCTTGCACACCTGGGCTGCCCTGCTGCAGCCTGTTGCACTGCCTTGTTCAGATCTTTGCACAAGCTGTAGTTCTGGGCGATCTGGCATGCAATCTCCAGCTCACCTGTCACAACTGTGGCAGAATTGGTGCAATTGAGTGCTCTCTCGTACATAGCAGGCAAGGCTGGGAAGACATCTTCCACCTCATAGCCGATCACCAGCCACTGCCAGCCTTCTCTGCAAAGCTTTTCAAAAATGTGTCCTTCACCCTTGCCCTCCACCACCTGTTGCATGCTCAGGCTTTTTCCACCTGGGGACATGCAGTTTCCCTGCACTGCCCTGAAGAAAGCAGTGCTGTGACTGGCACCCACAGTCAAATACCTCTCTGACCCTTTGCATTCTGCCAACATCCCAGAGCTGTGTTTCTGCAAGGCCACATTGGCATCCAGTTGCTTCTGCCTCTTGCTGGGCTCCACTGCCATTTCAAAGCAAACAGAGCTGGCAGCCAAGAGGTCTTCCTTCAAGCCCACAGATACCATTTGCTGTCCCTTGCTGTGAACATCATAGGCATTCACCATTGTGCCTCCTCTGTTCATGGGGTGTGTCAAAAGGGCACTCGGAGCTAGCACCTGCTTGTAAGCCAGGCTGTTGCTGAGCAAGGTTTGTGAGATCATACTGACTTTGGTGTTCAGCTCCATTCTGCTGTCCTCCATGTCAAGAATCCTCTGCACCTCCTCAACCACATGCTTTGCAAGCATGGCTGGTTGCAACTGGCTGCTGGCAGCCTCTACTTCTTTATTGTTGCATGAATGATGGCTCTTTGCTGATCATGCATGGTGCATGTCCATGTGCAGTTGCTTTTGGTACGTACATCCTTCTTGAACACAAGGCATGTTGCAGAGCAGGTTGCACCTGTGCATACACTTGAGCTGCATGAGCTGACTGCAACCTTACCTGCCTGCTCTTTTGCATTGCTTGTGCCAGCACATGCAGCCCAGCCTGCAGACACAGCCTACACCCAATGAACCACCCGGGCCTCTTGAGCTGACAGCAAGCCATGAGCTGAACTGTTAGCTGACTGTGTGCGAATGGCAAGTTCACCTGCTAGACAGGCAATGCTTTTTGAGCATTGCCACCACGCATGGCAATTGGCACTTACATGTGCAAAGCTGCCCAGACTTCACACGTGCTGCCTTCATACTCATCACATTTGCAAGCCTTACACACGGCCTTGCATTTGGCCATGTCACTTCTGCTGAGCCATTCTTCTAAGCAAAGCATCCAGCATGACAAGCAGGCGTGGTCCTGTGAGAACACTGCAAGTGCATCTTTCAACTGTTGCGCAGAGAACTTGGCAGGCAGGACTTGCTGCAGCTCCTTGGCAACATCCATAGCTGGGGCTCGTGCGAAGGTGCCTTCTTGAGCCACTATAGCGCTGAAAAACCACTCAAAAACATGATGCTAATTTTTAGCTAATTATTAGCTAGTGACCTGCTAATTCTTAGCTAAATTCCATCAAAATTATGTTAATTAGCTAATAATTATAATTGGCTGAATAGCTTGCAATAATTAGGCAAATTAGTATGGCCTTAGCATGGCTTTAACATAGTGCTAATATAGTGCTGCTAATTGACTATAAAAATTATAACTCCTAGCAATTGCACAGCCCATCTAAGCAGGCACTGAGCAGCGTGCGGCGTCTGCAGCGGCCACCATACAATGTGACCGTGCGGCACCAGGGCACTGGCCTACCTGCGGGCACTGCCCTGCCCGGCGCACCAGCGCATCCACGCCGACCCTTCTTACATTTTCCCCGGCCGCAGCATGAACTACTGTTGTACGAGAGGGGACGGCCACAACCTGGTCTTTCACACGGAGCTGCGAGATGCACTCTTCGCGAGCGGCCTGCCCTTCGTCCTGAGCATCAACGACGTGCCGAGCCTCGCATGCTTGTGTGCCGTGATCTGTGATGTCCCCGGTCAAAGCCGATTTTGGCCGAGAAGAGATCTGCCGTCTCAGCACTAAGCCATGCCATCCTTCACTGAAGTGGCGGAGTACCTGGGCGATCGCATCGTCCATGGTCGGAGGAGGAGGTGGGGGGCGATCCAACACCCAAAAGGTGGCAGAGACGGTGATGGCACAGGCGCAGAGCCAGACTGACGCTGAGCGCAAGGAGGTGTTGATGCAGGAAGCATCGGTGCAGGACCGGAGGAACCTCGTGACTGGACATGTTCCTTCTGACGATGACGAGGCCCTCGTCCAGGAGGCCAAGAGGCCGCGTTTGGAGGCGGGCGCTGTGAGGAAGGCAGACCTGCAGCAGGTGTTGCGTGACCGCGGCATTGCTTTTGCGAGCAAGACCACGGTGGCTGAGCTGCGGAGTTTGCTGGACGAGGCTGAGGGCAAGGCCGAGGCTGTGGTGGCCGTGGAGGCCGTGGAGGCCGTGGAGGCCGTGGAGACCAAGGAGGCCGCGGAGGAGTCCGAGGAGACCGAGCATGTTGCGGTCGATGCGGCGGCCGTGGAGACCAAGGAGACCGTGGAGAAGGACAAGGCCGATGATGCCGTGGTGGAGGATGACTTCGGCGGGGCCTTGCCGGTCCTTCAAGGTTCAAGGCGGTTTGAGGAAGTGTCTGTCCGCCACCTGCCGGAGAAGATGCGGATGAAGTCGCTCTGCGTGGACAGGTGGGTGACGGGCAGCCTTCGCGCCTTTGGTCAGCTGGGTTTGCGGGAGCAAGTGGCGAGGGCATTGGCATGGTCCTCACAGTCTACCGTGACACTGGTCGACCGCACAGGTGCAACGCCCGGCTTGTGTCGGGCATCTGTTTGAAGGACTATGAGGAAGCCCAGAAGAAGGGGACGATCAGCGAGGAGATCCATGGCCGGTTCTTGGAGCTGCCTTTCATGGTGCGCCGGCTTGTGGACATGCGCATCAGCTCCTACAACGCCACTCGTTCGGCCTTTAGCTTTGACAAGCTCTTCAAGGAGCTGTGCCTGGCAGGATTGCCGATCTGTGACGTGGACCAGGTGTTCTCTGTTGGGCATTCCCTGATACAGCGGCACCCAGATGCTGTCCAGGTCCGCCGCTTGATGCAGGACCGTGAGGCTTGTTATGCGGTCGTCGGTGACTGCGAGGAGGCGCAGCGCTTTTTCAGTGGCATCCTGAATGGGGCTGGCGTGTGTCATTTGGAGACCTTCATGCAGAAGCACCAGCTCCAGAAGCTCCCGCGCTTCGTGTCTGAGCTCATGCATGAGATCCGGGCGATCACACAGCGCGATGCGCAGGCTTACCCGGAGCTGTCCGCGGAGCTGGCGGCGCAGGGAGGCAACTGGAAGGGCCAGCTCTTGGAGCTTCTCCACGAGATACAGGAGCATGGTGGTTTTTGAAAACAGCCCTTTTGTGTTGTTTCCCCCGACTAGTAGGAATCAACCACGAGTCGGCCAAAGGGTTGGTGTCACAGAAATGTTATTTACCGACAGCCATGTACAGGAGAGGGAGACAACGGAAAAGATGACAGAGGCGACCACCGCCAGGGTGTGCGGCCTGCAGTATGACGGAGTCGCGTTTGCCTGCCGTCCAGAACAGCAGGAGGCGTTGGTCGAGCAGCTCGAAAAGAAGGTCGGGTTTCCTATGAAGCACAAGCCCTACAGGTCGCTGGATGAGATCATGAGCGAGTACCGCCGGCGCCACCCGGATCTGGATTGGGAGACAAGAGATGAGGATTGGTTTCAAGTCGAGCAGGCGCGGGTTACCCTTGCCCAAACCTTTGTCCAGACCTTGGTTACCCGAACCTTTTGGTCCATTTTTTTGCGTCGCTTTTGCTTCTTTGTGACTTTGCAGGACCGGCGGCTGGTCCGCGCCTACTTGAGCAAGGGCGTGGAGGGAATCGACCGTCTGGTCGTCCGAGCCAGGAACCTGTTCAGCGATTTGGTGTCCTTTGGGACCCAATTTGGTCTCATCATGTGCGTCAACTCCCGATTGAATTTGGAGATGGATGGAGGAGTGGATAGGAGGCTTGTGGGCCGAATGGCCATTTCGCTTTTGCGCTCAACCCCGTGCACCACATGAGAGGGAAGTTCTGGTTGACCACAAGGAGAGGGAGAAGCTCCAAGCGAACTGGGTTGTTGTACGTGCTGCTGAAAGTGTGTTTCACAAGGTGAGCGACACGGTTGTGCGGCCCTGGCCTGTGTCCGTTGCCCAAGCCACACGGGCCTACATGGGGAATGAGTCGGCCGACTTCGTGTGGAGCTCCTTTGCGGAGACCTGGGAGATCGCCAGCAAGCCGGCCGTGGAGTGCTCCAATTACGCCACGGTCATGGAGGACTGGCTGAGCTTCTGCAGGAACAAGAGCTTCGGCCGCACGGAGGCGCTGAAGCACTTCCGGAGCGTCACGGCGCGACACCAGCACTGCGGGAAGTACGTGGCCAAGTTCGTGGGTGAGAATCGCTGCTTTAAGCACGCGAAGCCACTGCCGCTGCTTTAAGCGCCCGAAGCCACAGTAGTTCTTTTTGACCGGCTGAGACTTCAACGAGCCACTCGTTTGTCTCGGCTGCATGATGCCTGCGACTTTGCGGCTAAGCAGACACATGAGCTACAGGACCCGCTGTTATAGCTCCATGTACAGTACAGATGCCTAGCCACGCGATGGTCAGTATGGGCCTTTGGCGGAAGAGCTGTAGGTGAATCCTGTTTCTGGCTCAGCCGCCAGCGTTGCCCGACGAACAGTGGAAGTCCGATGCCCAAAGCTTTGAGAGTTGCTTGACGTGCGGAGGGGACTGGGGTGTGTCTTGCCTTTTGCGTTTTGTCCGTGAGGCAGATGACGGCCCCAGCCTTTGGAAGCACGGATGGCTTGACGTGTAGTACATGAGCTGAGTGTCCCGACATCTTGCAGGATATCTCACAAGCGGGCGTCAGATGTTCACCGACGTGTTCAAAAGGCCGACGCGTGTTTCGTTGGACGGTGATCTTGTGAGCACTCATGTCTTCTGCGAGAGATTGTGTGCGCGTGCATGTGTTCCCTCCCCAATCTAGGGTTTGCGCGTCTTTTTCTCCCAAACCGCACTGCGGCTGTTCTTTTGGGGTTCCCACCCAATTGCGCGGCGTAGGCTAGGCTCAAGATGCGAATCTTGCTGGGTGATGCAGCCCAAACCCTAAAAGGCTTCGAGAGTGTGGCTCAAGATGCCGGTCTTGCTGGAGCAGCCCAAATCCTAAAAGGCTTTGAGATGTGTGGCTCAAGAGAATGTCTCTTATCAACCGTACCTAATCGAGGGTCCTCGGCCTTCTAGGCTCTTCCAGGAAGTCGTCGAGCTGCCTCACAGCAGCTGGCCTGCCGCGCCTCGTCAGCCGCGCCGCCGCGTTGCCGCTGCCGGACGGTCATGGAGTCCACGGCCCGCAGCTGCTGCACGTCGCCGTACTGAGGGTTGAAGCTCCTCGCCGCGTTCGTCGGTGCTCGGAAAGCCCCCGCGTCCTCCACTGCCTTGATGCGGCGGTTCGTCAAGTCCTTGTTGTGCTGGAACTTGTCAGCGTTGTCTTGAAGGACCCTGAACTCTGTGGCCGGCTGCTTCTCCACGTCTTCCGGGGCGCCGTGCGCCGTCTCGTGGGGCCGCGCGTTGTAGGCCGACGCGACCTGCTTGAAGTGGTCGCTCCACTGCCCGCCCTTGCGCGCCACCCTGGTAGCCAGGTCCTTCTTGAGGGTCTGGATGCCCCGGTCCACCACCGCCATGGCGTTGCGGTGCGGCGCACCGCCGCACCGGGCAGCTCCCGCTCCAGCGTGGCGAACTCGTTGCCCAGGTCCGTCGTGACCACGAAGTTCTCGTCGTCCCCCGCCAGCTCCCGGGCCGCCCGCTTTGGTGGCCCGGCCGACCGCTTCAGCGTTCTTGTTCTGTAGAGGCTCCACAGCAGCCTCCCGAATAAAAGACGTCCATGACCACCAGGCCGTACTTCGTCTTCCCCCGCGTGTTCTGGCTGAAGTCGATGAGGTCCGCCTGCAGCCGGTCGTTCGGCCCCTCCGCAGCCGACTTCCCCAGCGCCCGTGGCCGGGGCGCCTGCACCTGCCGGCCCACGTCGGCCTTCAGCGTCACGTCGAGGTCTCGCTGCCTCGCAAGGCGATACAGCTTACGGGGGTCCCGCACGTTGAAGTCGTCGGCAAGATCCCTCAGTTTACTTGTTCTTCGGCCCCCGCTAAACCTGCCAGGCTTCCACCGCATCCAGCCTCGCCTGGAAGCCCTTGCGCACCCCCCAGAGCACGCTGGTCAGGTGCGAGTAGTCGAGGGTGACCATCTCCGTGCCGTCGCTCCACCGAGCGGTCCCCGTCAAATTCTTCCACTTTGTTCCCGCGAAGTCGTCCGAGGCGAAGCCCAGCCTCAGGTCCCCGTTCATGTCCGGGCGCTTGTACTGCTTGGCCTCCACGGAGTCGAAGAGCTGCAGCAGCTCTGCCACGTCGGCCTCGGCAATCTCCGTCTTCACCCTGCTGTCCGACAAGTCCGTGAAGCTCGTGTTGCAGACCACGTTGCCCGTGTTGCCTGCAATCACCACCGGGGTTCCTCTGGTTCGTGGTCAGGGACAGCTGCGTCGAGAGGCTCTTCGTCTGCACCAGCGCCTCGTCGTTGATCATGATGAGCTCGCACTGGTGCGCCCCGCCGTCCCGCTCCAGGAAGACCCGCGCGATCTGGTTGCCCAGCAGCCGCAGCTCCGGGCCGCTGTCGGGGGCCGCGCTGTTGTTGGACACTTGCAGCTTGCTCCAGCCCGCCCAGTTCTTCGTCAAGAAGAGATCGTCCGAGAAGTCGGAGGTGTTGGTCACGGTGAGCGTGTTGGACGCGAAGAGCGCGGAGACCGTGCCCGAGCTCGTCACGTCGCCGCACGCTGCCCGTCGACACTCTGCCGGTGGCCGTGAAGGTGCAGTCCAGGCTCTCGCAGTCCAGCGGGCCCGCGGAGGCCGCCCCGCTGACTGTCAGCGTGGCGCCCGTGAGCGCACCGGTGGCAGCGAAGCTCGCCGCGGTGGCTGCGCCCGAGGCCGTCAGCGTGCCAGTGGACACGTCGCCCACCGTGGTGAAGTTCCCGGCGTTGGCCGTGTTGTTGATGGTCAATGCGCTGCCCGTGATTCCTGTGGCGGAGCTCAGCAGGCCCACGCTGGCCGCGCCGGTGATGCTCAGTGAGCTGCCTGACACGGCGCCGGTGGACGACAGCGTGGCTCCGGCAACGGCGCCGGTGGCTGTGAGCGCTGCGCAGGAGACTGCGCCCGAGGCGCCCACGCCCGTCGTGAACACGCCGGTGCAGTTCACGTCGTTGCACAGCAGCTGGTCGCAGCCCACGTTGCCCTGCGCGGTGAGCCCGTCCAGCGTGGCCGAGCCCGTGAGGGCCAGCGAGTCGGCCAGCAGGTCCGTCACGGAGACCGACTCTCCCTCGAAGGCGGTGGCCCTGATCTGCAGGCTGTACAGGTCCAGCGTGCCCGCCGACTGCTGCACCAGCCCGGGGATCGAGCCTCCGAAGGCTCCGAAGCGCAGCTTTGCGACTCCGCCCGGCGTCCAGGCGCGCCGTGCTCCAGACGCCCTGCGAGGGCGTGCCGAGGAAGGCGCCGGCGACGCCCACGTAGTCGTTGTCGGCCGCGCTGACGTACATCACCAAGTTGGAGGCCGTGCCCCGGTACCGGCAACCGAAGGAGTCAGTGTGTAGGTGCGCACAATGTTCCAGGCGAAGGCGCTCAGGGTCATGGCGTAGCCCTGCCCGGACGGCGAGTTGGGTACGGGGCTCAACACGTCAACCACTGCGCCACTCAAGAAGACTGGAGGGATACCCAGGGAGCGCCTGCGCCCACACAAGGCCAGAAACAGCCTGCTCACGCTCCGTGTTCACTCCCAGGTCCTGCTCGATGTAGTTCTTGACGGGGATCCAGCCATCATCGATGTTGACGCTTGGGCTGAAAACGTAGATCCGCTCAATCACGCTGCTCCAGGATGAGACTGATGAGCGCCACAGTTTTGCCCGACTTCAAGGAAGATGCCCGTGCATGGTACCAGGGGCACCACGGGGTCCGAGGCTTGCTTGCTGGTGTACTCAGGCGTGGGGAAAAGCTTGATCTTCCCCATTCGTCCTTTTGCGTTACGCAAGTTCCGGAAGCCGGTGTTGCCGGCGCAGGATTGACGGAGACGCAACCCAAGGCTGCAGCAAATGAGGCCAAGAAAACCCAACCACCCTTCTGCTCTGAGTTACCGTTGCGCTTAGAAAGCACTTATCATGCTTTTCGAGCCACAAAGCTCCGCAACAGAAACGCACTTACAAGGCCAGAAACAGCGCTTTAAGCCCGGGCAACTTAAAATTCCGAGACGCACAGAATGCGACTAGGACCCGTTTTGCCTGCATATTGAAGCAGGCGGAAAAACCTTGCAGAAGTGCAAGCAGAAGGGCTGTGGCCGCACCGCGCAAAACCACCAAATTTTCGCAGAATCCACATTTGCTGAATGATAACCTCTGAGGATGCGCTGTGAGCGGTTTTAGATTTCACAAATGACAGAGAGAGGGCCAGCGTGACGTCGTCGGCCCCTCCGTCGAGGAACTCGTGCTTTAGCAGCAAGGCCAAGCCTTCTCCTCCTCCGCTGTGTTGCCGACCTCCAGGGTTGCGCGCAGGATCTGGAGGCCGTAGACGTCCACCGTTCCTGCCGTCTGGTTGGGCAGGCCCGGCGCCTGAAAGTGCCCAAAGTGCAGCTTCGCAACTCCGTTTGGGTACATTGGCCGTGCTCGAGGCGCCCTGATCACCCACGAAGCTGCCGTACAGGGTCGTAGACGTTGTCGGCCTCGGACATGTACACCACGAAGTTGGAGGCCGTGCCGAGCCGGTGCCGGCAGGCGAAGAGGAGCTCTCAGGTTTTAGGTGCGCGCAATGTTCCACGGGTTCACTGCCGCCCACGCTTGCTGCGCCCGCGGTGCGTGGCCAGGACGCTGCAGCCGCTGCTGGGGCGAACCGTCCAGTTTGACAGTGAGACGTCTGTGGGGGCCAGGATCTGCTCTCCTATGGCGGCCACCACCTCGTCGGCCCCCGCGTCGTCCGGAAAGCGCACTACTATTTGCAGGGCCGAGGCTGCCTCCGTGACTCCAAGCTTGCCAGCCAACAAACCGCCTGTGCGATGTGTAGTAGCTGAGCAGGGCGGCGGCGATGCTCAAGGCCGTTGCCGTGTCCTGGTCTGCGGCCGAGCGGTACACCAGCGCCGAGGTGATTTGGTTGGTTGTGAAAACGTCCGGTCTGGGCCCGTCCGGTAGGCCAGCAGCGCGCCTGTGATGGCGGCCTGCGTCTGCGTGTCCTGCGCGCTTGCCGTGCGGTAGTCTCCCAACAGGGCGTCCACTTGCGCCGAGGTGTAGTAGGCCAGCAGCGCAGCCGCGAGGGCCGCGTCCGCCGCTGCGACGGAGTAGCAGTCGGCCGTGATGCTCAGCGTGTATGCAGGTTGCAAACGACGTTGCTTCCGCGAACAAGCTCCCAAGTTGTGAAGCCCG